ACAGGGCCTCCAGGAGTTAGTCTCAGCACTGTCAACAGCACTGCAGCATGAGTTTAATCTGCAGCCAGGGAGCTAACCCACCTGGTGCAGTAGACCTCTCCTGTCTTGTTTGCTGTTCCGCTTAGCAAGGTATATCTATTTCAGTAGATATACCTGTTCTGCTTCCCACTCTATTTCTGGTGAATCCTCTCACCTCCGCACCTCCCCCTCTCCCCACACACCTCTGACCTACACTCCAGTTCTTATATGGTCTACATGTATGGCCATATAAAGACTCTAATTTGAAAATTGGGCCTTCCCTGGTTGTGCAGCCAGTTAAAATACAGCACTGTGAAGCTATCAGCAGCCACTGCAGCATGCTTTCGATTCCCAGCCAGGCAGCTGACCTACATAGCAGCAGACCTCTCTTGTTCTGCCCACTGCTCCCCTCAACAATGGGCAGTCTGTTCTGCTCCCTATTGTCTGGTGACTCCTCTCCCTCCCCTGCACCTTTGGCCTGTACCCACCTCTTATATGCATAAATAAATAAATACTAAAAAAAAAAAAAAAAAAGGAAAGAAAATTGGGGCCCTCCCTGGTGGCACAGTGGGTTAAAGCACAGCACTAAGAAGCTAAAGCCACTTCAGCATGAGTTTGATCCCGGCCCCGGAGGTGACCTATATGGCACTGCAGACCTATCCTGACCCGCCCGCTGCTCCCCTCAGCAGTGTTCTTCATCAGTTGGCCTGTTCTGCTCCTCACTCTGTCTCTGGTGAATCCTCTCACTGCCCCTGCACCTCTGGCCTGTACCCCAGTTCTATATGCAAATAAAAAAAATTAATGTGGAAAGATACTTAAATGTATTTTCTAAAATACTAAAAGTTAAATCACATCAATTACTCATTATTTATTTTATTGAAAAACAACATGGCAAGACATTAAGGTGACCCCAGATTGTATGGTGGTCATTTTTGAATCACAAGGAGACATGAAAAAATTTTTTTTTTTTTAATGATGACTTTTTAATGGTTTTTGTGTTCTTTCAGTTAAACTACTAAGGAATACTAACTTTTTATAAACACTAGTTTTTGATGAATTTTCATAAATAGGATGAATTAAAGCAGCTTATGTAAAGAAATCTAATAATGAGCAGTCATTTTGCTTTTTTTTTCCCTAGAAGTTTTGAGAGCAAATACATGCTAAGAAAAGTTAAAACCAAATTTTAAGCAGTTCTCTTAATCACTTGTTACTATGCAGGTGCCTCTTTTTTTCTTTCTCCATTTCCTAATAAACTTGTTCTTTTAAAATGTAAAAAAAAAAAAAAGAGTCCAGAAAACAACACATTTTAAAATAAGCAGGAGGCTCTACTTTAAATAGTCATCTTATTTTCCAAGGGAATAAAATACAATTTATACAATTTGGTATATGGCCTTCTGTCCTGGTCATGGTTCTTTGCCTGTGTAAACACGCGTATACATACACAACTTTTTTTTTAATATTTATTTATTCATACAGAACTGGGGTACAGGCCAGAGATGCGGAGGGTGAGAGGATTCACCAGGCACAGAGTGGGGAGCAGAACAGACAGATCAATGAAGTACACTGCTGAGGGGAGCAGTCAGGAGAGGGCCGGTGAGGAGAGGGCCATGTGGTCTCCTCCAGGGCAGGCTGGGATCTAACTCATGCGGAAGTGGCTTTAGCTTCTTAGTGCTGTGCTTTAACCCGTTCACCACCAGGGAGGGCCCTGTTTTTTTTGTTTTTTTGTTTTTTTTTTTAAGATTTATTTATTTAAGCATACAGAACTGGGGTACAGGCCAGTGATGCAGGGGTGGTGAGAGGATTCACCAGAGACAGAGTGGGGAGCAGAACAAGTGGACTGACTGAAGTACCCTGCTGTGGGGAGCAGCAAGCGAGGACACGTTTGCTGCGGCATGTGGAACACCTACTTGGCTGGGGGTTGAACTTGTGCTACAGTGGCTGCAGATAGCTTCATACAGTTGTGCTTTAACCTTTGCACCACCAAGGAGGGCCATGTGACGGCATTTTCTGATTGAAAACCTAATCTTGTCTGATGAGATAGATGCTGGATGCTTTATAAATCAAGTTATATGAACACAGTTCCTTTTTGGATGTTTCATATTATGGGATGTAAAACTCACTGTGTTGAGAGTACTTGTTAAGCATTGTGTATACTCTGAATACAAGAGGATTGGGGAGGTTTCCAGGCTTGAAGAACCATATGCAATGCAGGTAATATTGGTACTCCAGACAGGCTGGTAACTTTGGAATTCTAAGTTTGAAGGGAAAAGATATGTTGATCTGGAAACTGAGTGGTAGTCTTCATTTTCCTTTGAAACATGGACTTATTGATGAGTATAGGATGATTCAGCAGGATTGTTGGGAGAGACAGGTTGTTGAGAACTCATCCACCAGGAATGTATTATATAAGCAAGCAGGAACATCCAGCAAGGTCTCTAGAGGACAGAATACTGCTGTGTTAGTCACTGCTTAGTGATTGTTGTACTGAGTTGGTGCCAGTCTTGGAATTTTGAACCTGACATCTGAGAAATCAGTATAAAGGCGGCTCTTGGACAGCAGGAGGAACTGGGAAAATCCAGAGAGCAATTAGCACCTCAAAATGCAGCTTGGGCATTCAGGGCAGCTCTGCCATCTTGTGGAGGAAGTGTTCAGTGATTTTTGTGAGTAGATTCATTCTAGAGTACAGTCTTTGCAGGGTTTCCTCCCATGTAGCAAGTCTGTGATCTAGAAGTTTTTATTTTCCCCCTGTATGTATATTTTTTGGTTGTACAATTGTGCATATATTTAAGTTTAAAAAAATTATTTATTTATGCATACAGAACTTGGGCACAGGGTAGAGGTGCAGGGGTCATGAGAGGCTTCACCAGAGACAGAGTGGGGAGCAGAACAGGCAGATTGATAAAGTACACTGCTGTGGGGAGCAGCGGGCAGGTCTGCTGTGCTATGTGGGTCACTTCTAGGGCAGGGAATCCAACCCTTACTGAAGCATGGCCAGCTTATAGTGCTGCACCTGAACCTGTTGTGCCACCAGGGAGGGCCTATTTAAGTTTTACTTTGAAATAACTTCAGATTTATGAAAAAGCTATAAACATTAGTACAAAGAAGGTAATTCCCACATACCTTCAACTAGATTTCCTACTTATTTGTTGTTCTTATAATGTCCTTTGATAGTAAAAATGGGAAAAACATATTTTTTTGGGTCAAGATCCTATCCATCCATGGTAGTACATTGGACTTATTTCTCTTCCTGTCTTCTCTTCTTCCTTCCCTGCTTCCCTCCCTCCTTCCCTGATTCCCTTCCTCCCTTCCTTCCCTCCTTCCTTCCTTAGTGGGTGGCTATAGCTTGATAGTACTGAGACTTTACTCCCTGCACCACCAGGGAGGCTCCCTTTTTCTTTTTGACACATTGGATTTATTTATTTATTTTTAAGAATTTATTTATGCATACAAGGTGTAGGCCAGAGGTGGCGGTGGGATGAGGAGATTCACCAAAGACAGAATAGGGAGCAGAACAGGCATATTAACTGAAATATACTGTTGAGGGGAGCAGTGGGTGAGTTAGGAGAGGTCTACTGTGCCATGTGGGTCACCTCCCTAGCTGGGATCAAACTCATGCTGCATTGGCTGCCAACAGCTTCATAGTGCTAAGGCTTAACCCTTTGCCTCAGTAAGGAGACCTGACACACTGGATTTAATTGTTATGTTTCTTTAATTTTTTTCATCTGAAATAATTCTTTAGTCTTGTTTTTGCCTTTCATGACCTTGATATTTTGGTTGAACATGATTTCCCTTATTTGTGGCTTTCTTTTAAATCTTCACTTTAGATTTAGATTTAGGTTATTCACTTTTAGCTGTGTAAAGTGATGTGTGCATATCATATTCTCTTCAAGTGCATTCTGTCAGCAGGCACATGATGGCTGTTTATTCCACTTATTGGTAATATTAGTTTGACCTCTTAACTGAGGTAGTATTTACCAGTTCCCTCTACTATAAAGCTGTTATTTTTAGTTTGTAAATTTCTTGGGAGAAGATACTTTAAGACCATGTAAATATTTTATTTTTCACTAAACTTTCAGTCACTATTTTAACATCCATTGACATTTCTTTCCTGAAATAAGTTTTACTTTGATGGCTGCTAAGTGATATTTCTGACTCTTACCATTCTTTCTAGACCTACTAGTTTGCATTCTTTTGTAAGGAAGTCTCCTTTTTCTTATTTTAGTTACTTGATAAAATCACAAATTCAATCTTTGTTTTATGGATTATAATCTGTTTCGTTTATTACTTATTTTAATAGCCATGTTCTGGATTTGGCCAGCAGGAGCCCTTCAAAACTCATTTCTGTGTCTTCATACTTTAAATATTTCTTTATGTCTGGCATAACAAGATATCCCAAGCTCATCTTGTACTTACCCAACCCTGGGTTCAGCCATTTCTCCAAGATTTCCTGATTTCTTCTAAGTGGAGAAATATATTTAGAAATCAAGACCTGGGTAGTAGCTGTGCTCATCGCTTCTGGGTATACAGAGAAAAATGTGGATGTTCTTCTGTACTACCTGTCTTTCTTCCTAGCTTGCGAACACATTCAGTCTGACACTGTCGACCAGGCATTATGGTGGTGAGTCTGAATCTGGTCAGCTCATGAGTAGCAAGTGCTTTGTTGAGATACCTGGATTTTTGTTTTTAGTGTTTATCGCTTTTCTTTCCCCAAAGTCTGAAACGCAGAGAACTTATATGGCTTCTCAAAACACAAGTAAGCAAAGAAAATCTTTACTTTCATAAGATGAGTCACAATAGAATCTCAGCTAATTGCCTGAAAACTGTATTTATTCCCTCCAAATAGTAATCTTTGAAGGTAATGGCAGTCTGATTGGTGTCTCAGAATATATATACATTCTACTCTTGTACTGCATTGTTTTGCTAGTACAGGCACTGTAATAACTAGGATAATCACAAGGATAAACACCATTTTTTTTTTCCAGTGACAAATACTTTTAAGAAAACAGATGATTTTGTGACATCTAAAGCACCAACTGTTGACCTAGACCACAAATTTAGGTGCAAGATTGTGGATTGTTTAAAATTTTTCCGCAAAGCCAAACTGTTACACTATCACATGAAGTATTTCCATGGAATGGAGAAGTCACCAGAGCCAGAGGAAAGTCCAGGAAAGAGGCATGTGCAGACAAGGGGCTCTTCAGCTTCAGACAAAGCCAGTCAGGAGAGCCTGACCAGGAAGCGGGTCTCTGCCAGTTCCCCAAGTAAGTATTTTTGTTCTGTGTTATGCTGCCCAGCCCACAGTGCTTGCATTCTGAAATAATATAGTATTAGGTTGGTTCGATCCAGCTAAATCCCAAAAGATTGAAAATGATAGTAGTAGTTCATCATGTTGATAATTTTGCATTAATATGTATGAAATATATCATTTATAGTTTTCCTTTCTTGTAATGTCCATCTGATTTTGATATTAAGAGTGATGCTGGCCTTGTGGAATAAGTTAGGCCGTGTCCCTGTTCCTTGAATACTAAGCGCTTCTCTTAGAGCCTTTCCACTGGTTATCCCCTCCTGGGAAGCTTTCCTTCCAGATCTCTGCATGTTTCATGCCCTTTAAGTCTCCAGTGCCCCTGTCTCAATGAGGCATTCTCTGATCCCATACTATTAAAGTTGAAATTTTCATTTTCTTGGCTTCATTAAAAAAAAAAATATTTATTTATGTACACAACAACTACGGTACAGGCCAGAGGTGTGGGGCAGTGAGAGGATTCACCAGAGACAGAGTCCAGGGCCTCTGTATTGAATAGGCAGATGTATTGAAATTACACTGCTGAGGGGAGCAGAGCATTGGGCAGGACAGGAAAGATCTGCCATGCCATGTGGGTCAGCTCCCTGGCAAAGGATTGAACTCATGCTGCAGTGGCTGCAGATAGCTTTTTAGTGCTGTCCTTTATCCTGTTGTGCCTCCAGGGAGAGCCCGGGCCTTAGATTTCTTAGCTCTTTTTTTTTTTTAATTATATTTTTAATGTTTTCCCATCATTCTTCCTTTTGTGGATTTCTTAATCTTAAAATAAACATTTTACAAATTAAACTAAGATCTTTTCCAGAATTCTTGATTTTTGAACTTTGTTTCCTAGTTGCAGAGTATTTTAGTAAGAAGGGAGCTTAGACATCCTTAAGTCCTATATTTATTAATTAGTGAATTGACATCTGCCTGTCACCCTGTTTTTGCTATTTGTTAGGTGCAGTTTGTTACCCTCTCTGATGGTTCTCGGATGCCATGTACCAGTGGTACATCGTTCATTGCTGAGTGACATTGCTCCTGAGACAGATGAACCTTCTTTTAATTATTTGTAGGATGTCAATCAGGTGCCTTTACCGTACTGAACTTGTTTCCCTACCTGTGAAACAGGGCTGATATTCACAGGTTAATTGTTAGGTTTAATGGAGATGCATGTGGTTTCTTTGCATACAAGTTCTTAGTTTAAGCCATTTGAATCTAGTTTTTACCTTTCCTGTACCTGCTTTTTGATTCCATATCAAAATCACTCAAATATTTTAAAACATCCTGATGCCCTCAAAAACATTATGCTTAGTGGAAGAAACCAGACACAAAAGGTCACATATTGCATGAATCCATGTATACAAAATGTCCAGAAGCAATACCACAGAGATAAATGCAGATTGGTGTTTGCCAGAGGCAGGAAAGAAAACAATGATGAGGGGCTTTACTTTAGAATGATGGGAATGTTTTGAAACTAAGTAGAGCTGGCTGCACAGCTTTGTGAATGTACCATATACCACTGGATTGTTTTTTCTTTTTAAAAATATAGTTGTTTAATGTTTAATTACACAGGAGCTTTATATATTTAAATTTATATTCCACTTATTAACTGCAGCAAAGTAACTAAACATCCATTTCCTCCAAAACTCCAAACTTTATTCATCACTTTAATTTTCTCCATATACCCATACATATATATGTAAAAGTATAAAAATGTAAA